TGTATAAAGAAAGAGAATCGAATTTAAGGGTATTTTCTGTTTTAGAAATGAAGGAAGCAATTATAAATTTCAACGGACTACTGAAGATTGGGGAATGTGGTTTTGGTAGTGTTTATAAGTTTACGAATATGCCTCCAAATGGGTAGGAAGATTCCATGGTGTTTGCCATTAAAAAACTGAATACACAAGGATTACATGTATTTGTATTGTCTTTGAGAATTCAAAGCTGAGAAATGCATACATTGCTTTACAAGCTTTGAAACAAGCCATTCTCTCAAATCCCCAAAATTTCACTACAAATTTAGTCGGGTCCGGTTGTAACTATACCAGAGTTTGTTGCGGGTCTATAGTTAAGAACATGTACTTGATTGATCGTGTTTGAGGTTGTGATTTTTAAATTTGGTGATATTATTTGTGTTGTTGATTCAGGGGCTACATTGCAATGGTTTGGAGTTTTTTTAAGGTTGATTTAGGGGCTACAACTGTAGTGATTTCGACGATGGTGGTGATTTGTAGTAGCCGTGGATTGTGTGGGGGCATATTGGTGGATGGCGACGGTCGGCAATGGCTAATTTTTTGGGTGGGGTGGGGTGCGGTGCGGTGGGGTGGGGTGAGGAACTGAGGAAGGGAGAAGAAGAGTAGTCTTTTATTTATTTTTTTATTTTGTTCGATTTTTTTGGTTTATTTATTTAATGTGGTGATTCTGAAGTAATCATTTTACCTTTTAAAATTTGGTAAAAAATGGTAAAGGTCCACTTTTCTTGATCAACTTAACGATCATCCATTTGGACCCAGTTGCAAATTTACCCAAGATTTGGTACTATTGTTGGCACAAACTGAAAGTTAGGGTAAAGTCTGCAAAAAGTCAAAGGTTAAGGATCGCTGCTACAATTTTTCCTATTGTTTATTTATTGATTGATTCCTTTTTTTATGAAATTTTGAGTATCATTTTGTCACTGATAATTGATATTATTTTCATAAAATAATAATAGTGTTTTAATTGGAATAAAAAGTTGTCTGAATCTATTTAAAACCCACTAAATCTTTCGTAGAAATAATAAGATTTGATCAAATCTCCAATAATTAAAAATTCTTGTCTTCTATTGTCATTTACAATCGAACCTAGGGAAAAACATGGCTGTGGTTGGCTGAACAGATAATGCAAGAAAAGCAGAGTTGGGAATTTTTCTTTTTATTTAACCAAAGAATAATGATATCTATCATTATGATGATAGAATATCGATAGTGTGACAGTCTGTCTAATATTAATGGGATTAGACAATTCAACGGAGAGAGAGGGAGAGGGATAATGAGATGTCACACGAATGTTCCATTATCATGGTGATAAATAACATTTCTCCATGCATGAAAATGAATGGAGAATGCTTTGCCACTTACCAAAACACAAACCCTTTTAAGCCATTGAACTTGTGCAGAAGGATTTATAGGGGGAAAATGGGGGAAAATGGGGGAAAAGAGAGAGAAAGCAAATGTTTTGCAGAAACAAATAGTTTTTTTTCCCTCTCTCTAAATATATATGAATGTGATTGTCTGCTTGTACTCTTGAACTTCGGTTAGTAAATAAAATATATCCACTCAAATAGATATACACATATTTTTTATTTTGAAATCATATGTATGTATGATTAACCTTGTAAAAAGGGAAAATGCAATGGTGAAATGATACTATCATTTAAGGAAAAAAAATTCACGAGGGATTCTCAATCTTTTTTAGCGTGTCGTTCATTTTCCTAACATTTTATCACATGTTATCGGCTAATGAAAAATATTATTAAAACGTTGAGTGGGGTGTATTCAATCGAGACATTTGAATATTTTTATAGACTTTTTTAAATGATGGACTTTTGTTGTAGATTTGTATAGAATTAGTTGAAGTCTTTCATAAACTTTTATAGACTTTCTTTTTAAAACTTTTTGTAAAATTTACATGACTTCTAAAAGCTTTTATTTAAAATAGAATTGGTGCAAAACGTCCTTACCTTTGAAGGTTTTTATGGAAAACATCCATACCTTTCACGTTCTTTGTGCAGAACGTCTTTTTTATCAATTTTAACATAAAATGA